TACAGCGATGATAACGTAACACACACGCACACACAAATATATATATATATATATATATATATATATATATATATATATATATATATATATATATATATATATATATATATATATATATATATATATATATTAACGCGAACTTGTCATCATCGTATGTCATAGGAGCTGCAGACAGACTATTTAGCTCTAGTTTATTTAATACCTTCTGGTTCAGGAGTAGGAGAATATGATAGACACAGGTAAATCGATAAAGAATAACCACCATCACTTGCAGCATGCTGAGAGATCTGAGAGCGTTAAAATGCATTATTAAATATCTAGATATTTAAATTACCATTCTGATATTTTCGTAGTTACTAGGTTGCCATTTCGTTTTAAACAAAATGCACTCTATTATCTAGACAATATTATAATATTTTGAGTGAGCGTAGGATAGAGAGAAAAATAAAACAAACAATCTGAATATGAATAATGGCACAAGGCTATTTTGTAATTCATTCTGCTGACTCCACATGGATGAAGCAAAAAATTCATGAGTTGGTTTAGACGGTTAGAGTTCCTGGCAATAAAGGTACAATAAGATAATAATTTTTTAAATTAAAGACTGAATTATGGTGACCTGAGATAGCATGCATCAACGGTAATTCGATTATTCTTTGGTTGTCAGCATTTTGAAATAATAGAATGGGTGACCGTGGATAATAACTATTCTCAAATTAAAGAGAAATGCTCATTATTAGTGAGTGACTAGTATCATAAAATTGTCCATAGTTTGGATGTACACCGTGCACAATTTCTACTAACTTAATTTAATCCTCTGCCTTCATAATAGAAGTATTAATATAGATCAACATGGCAAAAGTGACTAATGATGAAATAGGATTGGAGAGAGACAGACAGACAGATATACAAAGAGACAGGGACATAGAGACAGAGAAGAAGAAAAAGATAAGGTAGAAGAACAAGAAGGGACATAATGACAGCATTTACGACAATTTCGTGTAGTTTTTAGTCTCAAACACAATTGCACGTTAAGCTTTACATTTATGTGGTGAATGACATTTTCTTCCTTTCTTTGTGTACACAATAGCTTTAGTACAGTTGGTTTTCAACTTTTTAATCATTTATCAATTTCATGTTTTGCATAAGTGAAATCAATTTGTTGTGTCAGGTGAAAGCCTTTCCAGTTTAAAAGAGTAATCCTTAAAATGAACCTGGAAGTAATAGTCTCTAAGTTTACTTGTAGTACGCAATCAGTGTCATCATCTCCCTAAAGATAAGACCATATATCTGCAACATACCGTATTTCAACAGATGTTCTTTTATTTGTTTAATTTGTTTTTTCCCATATAAACTTATTTCGGGCACATGTTGATGGATGACCAAATCATATAAAATATTGTTGTCAAGGTCGATGATGAATTAGATTGACCTTTCATGTTTGCAAATTTTTTACTCATTCTTCCTTCATCATTGAATTTTATCATAGCTTTGCTCTCCACATGACATACGTTGTTTACTTTTTTGGTGTCTATTTGGTATCATCTTAATTCATTTAGGTGATGATAATAATAAATATGTCATAATCTGTCATATATTTTCCCTCGACACCCGGATACCTTTTACTCATTAACCCCTGGAGAATGTTGTCATTTTTGCTTGAAATGCAAGTAAGAAACATAGTTTGGGGCTGCTTCTCAATACATCCCAATAAAGCTGCGTCCAATTGGTTTCTGTTTAGCATGATCCTGATACCTCGCTCTGTTAGAAACGTCTTTTTTCATTGACTAATTCGCTTACGCATGTGCAAAAAGGTAAAAGATGGCGGGCGTTTTTGCTTATTGGACCCATCATCTTTGTATCCTGGCCACCTTTTAGTTTAAATCATCAATGTTTCATACAACTTTGCAAGGATCGTGTGTATGTGTGCAGTTCACAACGGACTGTCTTAGATTTGAGGCCAAAAGTCTAAAATATTGACACAAATTCCGTTTCGACAACGGGGTAAAAAAAATCAGTTCTCAAAAAGTACGCATGTCCCAATGCATTTTATAGTTCTAGTAGAAGATCCTGATTATTGGGTATCCTTACAGAGCTACATCTGTCTACTTTTATGTAATATCAACCTATTTTGGTGTATTTTAAATGACCTTGACGCTACAGAGCTCGGATGCAGGGTGCTACCTCTTGACGCACAAACGTGGCGCCAGGGGCTTATGAGTTAATATCGCTTCATGATCTATTCCAGCTTCGTTGTATTAGTGCACAGACTCTTTATGTCATAGCTGATAGGTACGTGTAGACATTTCGAAACTTCTCGAATATACACGCATCCATAATTTTTACTTTTCACATAATAGTAGTACAGATTGAGAGTCTACCCACGAGATTCTGCCGAAGGGGGGGATGTAGCCCTTTGACTGGTATTTCCTTGCTTTGGTATAAACATTTACATAGATTATTTTTCACACCCAATTTAACTGCTATTTAATTTTTTTTAAAATTACATTTTTGCGGTTAGTTAGAAGATTCAAAACGCAGTATTCATCAGATAATAATACTATCTCTCACTCTGTATAAAGGTCATCAGGTCTTATTCTTTTAGGAAATTCTAAATAATTACATTATTAGAATCTATGTATATTTTGTGCTCTTACAAAGGATACAAAAAGTCAAGAAAGAGGTTATTATCGTTATTGTACCATGAGCGTCTCGAGCCACATGTAAACGCGCATTAATACGATGATGTCAATAAGAGCAATGGGGTGCCTAGTCAACTCTAAGTACACAAGTTCTACGCACGAGAAAAAAGAAACATGAAAACATTGATATTAATACTGTAATACTGAATTTAATCGATGGCTGTCGTGCAAAAAAAACCCCAAAAAGCAATTAATATATTTTATACAAATATGTTTCAACTTTCATTAGTTCTAATTTGGAATAGTTCTAATGCGGGTAACGGTACGATCAAGTGCATATGTAAGTCTATACATTGTACGTAATGAATGAAGAGATTTTAATTCATGATATTCTTAGAAATTTATATTTTATGTCCTGGAAATATGGCACGTGTAGCTATGACAATGATTCACTCCATGGAAATTTTCTTGTGACTGATAAATTAATCACTCTCATTGGAATATACAGGAATTTTCATTTATTTACAATGTTTGATTCAACTAGGGCTGGTTGAAATTGTTTGACAAAGTTTGAAGACTGCAGGTCTTGCATAACACATTTTTGATTGTTGTCGGCTTTGCTGTTGCTCTTGACAGAGTAGGGATTTTTGTAGTCAGTGATGTATAATTGCATGTGTGTGGATTGAACAGTATTTGATGTTATTGTTCGTTCCAAACAGCACAGATGAAGACTGTACGTTTTTTTTTCACACGTAGCTCCTATCGTGTGGACACCATGACTGAAACGACCAATCTCAGACAACCAGATTGAGATAAGAAAAATAAGGTTAGCAAATCAGCTAGATTTCTTTGTCTCATGATTGAGAACAGCGAATGTATTCAGATTTGATACGATATCACATCCCTGACATACTGTTAATCGACACCGGATATGTTTGAATCGATGAGCAATAAATAATTCTTTTTATATCAGGTCGTTTCACTGATTTACTGAAAGTGTATAAGTACTAATTTGGATTCGCATCCTTTTTCATAAATTATGTGCTTCTGTAAAATGTACAACACTGAATTTTTACACTTTTGTTCTAATTACTCACTTAAGAACCAGAATCAATCTATAAAATTGGATCGTTCTTTTCGTGGAAATTTTCTTATCATTCTTCACAAACCTACCAACTGTGAAATCCTTTCTAAATTAACTATATTTCTCGGGTATATCTGATATTATCTTACCTGCTTTGGAATAACATTTAACATTTTGATGAACAGATGACTTTCATAGCATGTTAAGCTGTGACTGAAGAGCGGAATTAACTTGTTTGGCATGTATGAAATTAAAAGTGCTTTCATTATGAACAGCGCTTCCATATATTCTATGCAAGTAATCGTTGTCTTTAATTAAATTCCTTTCACATACAAGATATGTATTTTGTCGAGTTAAAATGTTTACTTCATCTTTGTGATTATTAAAGATTTTGTATATTAGGTCACATATTGCAGTACACTAGTTTTGCAATCCTGCCCACATGTTAAAATACCCTAATGCTATCAGTTCGTCCTCAAAAGATTGGTCTGTGGCATTTAGAAATTGAAATTTGGTATAAATAAATGCCAGATGTAATTCTTTACTTGTTTGCATTGTAAAGAATATGTTTGTTTGACAACATTTAATTATGAACCATGGTTGATATCCATGGGTTTTTTTTTCAGAGGTACCTCTCAATATTGAATAATCAACCGCAGCCTATCTTATAAAGTTGAATAATCAACACTAGTCAATTTCAAACATTGATTAAGATGTTGTCTATTTTATTCAACTTACTGATTAAACATTGATCGTCAAACTACACTATTGAATGGCGTGCCATCTGACAACGTCAGTTAATTAAAAAGAAAGACGTTCGTCTGAGTTACGGTTAAATTAGCTATCTGTACAAACTTTTGACTATCAATTGCAGCTGATATAACTAACTATATTTTCGGATATACAACTTACAATGTGAAAAGAACAGAGTTCATTTTACAACATGGAATAAAGAACAGACGACCAATTTACAGTTTTTATTAGAGTACTGTCGTTAACCAAATTTCATGCACATTATGTAAATTTCTTCAACTTTAGAAAATGGACAACATTAAAATTGGTTCATGGGTAGTCATACAATGTTAATAGGGAAACTGAATGTATTACGAACTTGGCTAAACATTCAAGGTTATATACAGGATGGAAATATGACAACGTTTAGTGGATCAGGATTCATATTGAAATAAAGCACACAAATATGCCATTATTTCGTTAACCAGGGTGAATATCAAAGATGAATTATATAACTGTAGATCACTTAACGTCATATAACCGCTCTGGTGGCCTAGTAGTTAGAGCGTCCACCTCAGATACGGGAAGTCGTGGGTTCGAACCCCAGATGAGTCATAGCAAAAAGTTAAAATTGTACTAACAGCTGCCTCAGCAGCAGAGAGGGTGAACAGACAACTTTTCCTGAGACGTTTATTTAAAAAAAAATAAAGGTTCCTGCAGAGGCTGAGAAAAAGAACGTCAACAAAGCTAAACAAAAGTCTCTAACTTTTTTATTTCTACACGGCTATGTATTTAATCATATAATAAAATCTTTGGTTAGCTTATTTTTGTTATGCTATTGTTGACGTATTTTTTATGATTTTGTAAGGCGATTTTGTTTACTCGTAAAGCGACTAAATTGTTGTCCTTCACCCTCTCTGCTGCGATGAATTAAACAGCCATTATAAATATTATCAATAACGAGTATTTGAGAACCACACTCAACTATATTAGCTCGAGAGCGATTAGAGGAAATTAAAAAAATATCTACCTGTTCGTGATTCTGATAAGAAACAATTATAATCGCGTCAGGAATCTCAAGTTGAATTTGAGGAGGATACAAAACAGTTAATTAAACCTATCACTGAAACCACTAATGGTATTCAACCTGTATTAGAAAAAACACTGAAGCAACTGGAAAAATAGCAAAAAAATCTAAGAAAACAAAAAAAGATTTTTGAAAAACTTCCAGAAGAAATATCTGCGGCAATGAAAATTCCGGAAAAATCCGAGGATATAAAGCAGTCAGAAGAAGATGGTGTAGCACTAATAATACCAGAAGTTGAATTAATAGATATATTTAATGAAAAAACTGTTACGGTAATTAATGGCATTAAAAATCTAGACCAATTAGCTGAATTTGCTTTGGATAGTTTTAGTCAAAGAGGTAAATTAATTAAACTTGAACACGCTAAAGATATTAAAATAGTGAACAATGGCAAAAATTATTATATCGCATACGCATGAATGTTAAACAAGCTAGAGCTGATGACCTATTATATCAGGATTATGTCATGGCAATTAATTAATTAAAAAAATCAAGAAAAGAGGAGAAAAAAAAGTAAAAATCTCCAAAACAAAAAGAACCAAAACCATTTGAGCAATCACTTTGTGATTATCTAGTACCACCAAAACACCATCAAAACTGCTACAAAAATCACCACCGAACCCAAGTGAAGAAGAGAAATTTCAAGACCCTCCTTGTGCAACTGGAAGTGGTCTATGTAGTGGTCTTATTACTTGTACCAATAATGTTCTTGCTGATATTGAACGACTAGAAATTCTGATTGGAGGAAAACGAGCTGATAATAACTCATCAGAAAACATTAATTAAGCAGCAGATATTTGTAAACGATTATTTAGTGGCGGTATTATGGACACTGATGTGTATCGATCACTCATTAATGATATTGTCGATAATTATTATAGTGACTAAGTCACAGTGATTAGATACGATTAGCGATAAAGTCAATTAATAATAAAATGATTGTGCATGGTGCTCAACGTAGACCTACCATGGTTAGGGTAATAAACTCTCCATTACCAGTATACAAAGCAACCTACGGAGATGAACTAGGTGATATTGTTTAGGGTCTGTTTAGAAGAATAGCCCCAAAAGCAATACCCATTGCAAAGCAGCTGGGTATGAAAGCTATTAATGTTGTTCGTGAAAAGGTATAGATGCTACTGATAACCTTGCTAGCAAAGCATTCTCAGCGATCAAAGATAGACTAACGCGATTAGGACGCAGACCACAATCCGTCCGACCTCAACCAGTGAAATTGCCCAACACCGAAGTGATGCCCGCAAGTGTAAGTAAAATAATAAATCAAGCCGCTAATCAAAAACTAACTGAGTTAGTTGATGTACCAATGTCGGAAAAAGAAAAAATATAACCAATATAGACGAAGATGATAATAATAAAGATGTCCAAACGCATATCTAACCTAGCATTTGACATGGATGCACCAGTTCTCAAAGATGAGTCTGTGCGCGATTATCAGTATTATTCTTATGACGCCCGAATTCCAGATCAGCGTAGACGAATTGAATTACAGGTTCAGGATACAAGTAGATATTTTCTACCCGCTGAAGCATTTATTGAGGTCGAAGGTAAAGTTTTAAATAACGCTAATCCTGCAGCACCAGCACCATATGCAGCCGATATTAGTATTGGTTTTGTTAATAATGGTATTATGGCGTTGTTTGATAGCGCTACGTACATGATCGACGGAAAAATATTGAATCAATTCACAAAGATTTCGACGTTGCTACAACAATACTTGGTCTTGCAAGATACAGTGACGATTATTCAAGATCTGCTGGTCCATCAATGATGTTTGCAAAGGATACAACTGATTTTCCAGAAAATAGAAACGTAACTATTGGTAATGTGAGAAATGTCGCCGGGGACAACACTACCCCTGAAACATTATCGATGAATGCAAATTTCAACTTGGGATTCACATCACGTCGATCAATGTTAAAAGGTGATAGAAGAACATTTTCATGTGCAATTCCATTGTCACATATCTTTGGATTCTGCAGACATGTACGAAAGGTTTTTTTTGGAGCTAAGCATACAATTGTACTCGTGCGAAAAAGTACCGATGATGATGCAATATGGAACGTTGAAGGGGCTGATGATGCTGCAACTAGGCACTTCATGGTAAAGTTATACTAACCAAACTTTCACTCTGGATGCTAGCAATGACTCCAACGATATCTGAAGAAGATCGGTTGCTATATTTTATAAGTCAAGGCGGTAAATCAACATGATCATGGTTAACAATGACTACAGATGTTATCCAAACTAATATCAACGGTTTATTCACATGGCAAATAGCTTCTCAGCATGGTGGTTCTGCAACGGGACATATTTTTATTGTGCTTCAAAATACTGTACGAGTAAATAATCAGACACAAAGTATCATGATATTTAATAAGCTCGGTGTTTCTGAGGTTTCATTAAGAATAAACGCACATCAAGAACCATCCGAGAATATTTTATGAAATTTCGATCAAATCATGTAGCACGTGCATATCATTGTCTTATGTCGTTTATGGGACGTGATCAAAACATTGATACTGGTTTACAAATATCACAATTAGATTTTACAACGCTGTATCCTAGTTATTACTTTTCAATAGAACATTTAGATTTAACCAGACAATCAGTAGTTGATATACATTTTCGAGCTCCTTGTGAATCGAGGAGCTATTCCTAATTACAGAGCAATTGGTGTTATACTCAGTGATAAATCAATGTTACTCGAAGGTGTTGGTGGACGAATGAGAGTCATTGATGCGCCAGTAGAGAACATGTAATTAGATCGCTCATAATATTAATAATATCATATCATCACGTTAGTTTGAGTCTGACTCCTGATTAGGTCCAAAGACTGCAATCAGCATCAAAGAATAACTGTGGAATAAAAATATCGGTGAAAAAAGAACAGATGAGCGGTTCAAATAAATTATTGTTGACCGATCGACAATTTCAAAACTTTAATGAAGCAAAAAACTCAAATAAAGGCGTCAAACTTAGTCTTTCTGCAGGCGCTATCAAAGATACATTTAAAACTAGTGGTATATTTCTCCTTTTCGCAGCTATACCAGCATTAATAGCCGCTGAAGCCCTTAGCTGTTGCAAAAGCTGCTGCGTTATACGCTGTTGGAGTCGTTACGGGAATGACGTTAAAGAAGGCAACTGGACAAGGAATAAAAAAAGAGAAAAGTTCTAAGACTTCCAGGGACCCCGCCTTCATAGTACGGAAAAGGTCTAAGACTTCCGGGAACACCACCCTCGTGGTACGGAAAAGGTTTAAGACTATGAACAATTGGATGATAATTCCACTATCAAATTTTGATTTACTCGATGCTGATAAAAAAAACTAAATATAGAAAATTTCAGAGGAGTTTTTATGCGCGATCAATTACCAAAATAACCTAACAATAATGAAACTGGTATTATTAATCTTGATAAAAACTCTGGACCTGACACGTATTGGGTAGCTTATGCAATTGATCTACGTGGAACTATCTATTGTGATTCATTTGGATTAGCGCCACCAAAAGAATTTCTTCATTATGTCAGTAATAATACTGCTCCAATCTGGTATTCAATGCTACCAACACAAACAATAACTGATCCACCAATATGTGGTCGTGAAATACTTAATGTGCTTGATGCTCTATCCATGGCACCACCAGAAAAGCCACCTCATAAAGTCGTGCATGAATATACCGCATTGTCGCATTCGAACAGACATCAGTAAATATATTGGTAGATATTTACGGAAGATCTGCTCATGATAAAGCTCAGCAGCAAGTTGATTTATCTAAATATACAGCCCTCGATCAACTCAGAAATATGATTGATGATTTATTAAATATTACAAGTGTTGATCACAATGAAGTGGGTTTTTTTCAGGACAAACAAGGACGATTAAAAACAAGCAATATACAACTACCAGACGTACTTATACGAATTCCTACTGCAGTTGCTGAAATTATCGTTACTTTCACTGATCAGGGTAAAATACAGGATTCCGGTAAGTCAGTTGACGATTATGTCAGGACGACTGGCGGTATATTTAGAGGAGACGTTATTATGAACAAAAATAAATTTACAGATCTTGGATATCCAACTACAGATAGTGTTGCTGCTACAAAAAATACGTCGATATAAAGAGATTCCAATAACGACTTCGTTAACGACAATCAATGATGGAGTTGCTGCATTTATAACTGAGTATTCTAATATCATACAAATGTTTCTAAATTTTCGTAGAAATATAAACAATACTAATAACGAAATTTTTGGAAGTCCGCCAAATATTGATATAAAACTTACTGATATTAACACAAAACTCAACGTTATTATTAGTGGAATATCGGATATTGTTTAAAAAAAACACAAGCCTGATTAAAATTTCTCACAAACAAATCAACATAGTGTACGTCGTCGGATGAGGCGCAGCAATATGGACACAACGAAATAAAACCATCAAACTCAACGCGTAGGTTGCTGGTATATATAGGTTGTCTGTGTTTTGCGCTGCAGAATTTAACATACTTA